ATATTACCGACTCAATTTCATGGTAGTTTTTTCAACTTGAACTTACATGAGTGGCTGGTGCACAATTTAATCAACAAACTGCATGTGAATATTGAGGGATGGGAAACTCTATTTGGTGTAACTGCATGGAGAATATGGAATGGCCGGAATGAGGCTCTGCTTGCCGATAAAGAATTTGTGATCCCACATAAAGTGAGGGAAATCGACAAAATAGTGAATAATATTGAGGTGGTTGTTTCGGCTGAGAGAAGTTTGGGTGGATTGGGTGTCGGCCGACAAACCCGATAGCTCGCTTGGAGTGCCCCACCAGCCGATGTTGTCAAAATCAATACGGATGGTTCTTTTATTCAGTCCACAGGCATGGCATCGACGGGAGGACTTGTGCGAGATGAGGATGGCCAGTGGCTCGGAGGATTCATCATGAACATCGGATATACTAGCATTACGGGCGCCGAGCTATGGGGTTTATTCCAAGGACTCCATCTAGCGTGGGATTTGGGGTACCGGAACATTGTCGCGGAAGTGGATAATCAAAGTGTAGTCAAAATGGTCACGGGGACCTTATCCGAGAACTGGGGGGGTGCATGGAGCTTTAGTGAGAGCTATTCGGGAGATGATGCACCGAGAATGGACAGTGCACATCAGGCACTGTTATCGAGAAGCTAATTTCGCTGCGGATTATTTGGCGACGCTGGCCCATTTATGCCCTAGTGGTTGTCAGCGACTACCCGATCCACCGATAGAAGTCAAATCGTGGATAACGCATGACGTCTTTGGCGTTGCGTATCCACGGAACACGACTATCTAGAGGTGCTAGGCTACGACCTCCTTCCTTTGTACCAAATAAAAAAGGAAAGCAAAAGAGGGCCTAAACACAACAAACAAGATGAAACCGCAACAGTGAAGTAAATCTTTTGTAATCAAATTTGCACACACGAAGGCATCATAGATATTTGTATCATTTAAATATTTATGTTTTATATAGAAAATAAATTTTCTCCCGATCTCGTTCATCTCCTGAAGTTTTCCAATCATCACTTAGGTATCCGATATCGTTCATCCTCTATTGCCAAGATTCTGACAACTGCTATGTTTTCTCGACAGAAAACAACACCGTTACATCAGTCTAATAATAAAAATAATACTCTTCCCAACTTCTCCGGACTCACTTGTGGAGCCCACGATGTGTGGGGGTGGTGCGATAAATGGATGTTGTTGGGGCTAGAAAATGA